TGAGGGACGCGCGTATGTGTTCACGCTGCGGGCGCGGGCGGGCGCGGGGGGCGGCGTGGTCTCACCGCGGTCCGACGCCGGTTGGTCTTCGGCGTGGCGAGGGCGGGCGCGCAGAGAGGCCTTGCCCGCCATCGCGTTGCCGCGAAGGAAAAAGCGGAGAAGGCCTAGGAATCCTAGGAGAAGGCTCGAGGGAGAAGGCTGAAGGGAGAACCAGGAATTCCGGGGGGTTGTGGCGATCTTCACACTTTTTATAGGGATGGCATTCGCCGAAATTCTCGCAGGAGTCGCTTAGGCGGCTCCCGTGGTGTACCTGTGTTAGTGCCAGTGCGCGCCAGTCCTGTGCGCTGTGCCCAGTGTCGTGCCAGGGAGTTGAGATGGAGCACTTTGCTCTTTGGAGTGCAGTCGGTATGTACGGTAACCTCTCACACATCCCACAGGGCCGGAAACCCAGCGGGCCAGATGATCGGCATCGGGTTACGGGCTAGAGAGCCCTACCTAGCCCTGGGGGGTGCGCGCGTTCGCAGGGAAAGGGCCGTAAAGTAAACATGCTAGACGGCTCACGGATCTCCGAGGCGCGAGGGTTAGTTCCGTGTAGTACCGGGTTTCCCCTTAACTGCAGAACGCCACCTCTATTATTAAAATAACGCCCCCTCTACTCGGAGCTAACTCGGACAACAACGCCGTGCCCCCGGGCTTTGTTTTTTGGGTGGCGGCGCCGGGGTGGCGGGGCAACGGCCCTGGCTGCTGTGCCGCGCTTTCCCCGAAGTTGCAGGTTTCGCCATGGCAGACGACCACTCGCTCTGCTCACGCGATCTCATTGAGGCGGCGGCAGACTCCTGCGCCTTCGCGAAGCAGCACTGCGCATCCGATGCAGCCGGCCTCTTCGGCTCCTACGTCCCTCTCTACTACTGTCAGCTGGGCGCCTCGCCGGCGGCATTCGCGCCGCTTTGCGCGCTGCTGCTGCTGCTGACGATCTGCTGCCTCGGATCCACCGCCGACCTCTTCTTCATTCCGCAGCTCACTCTCCTCTCGGAGCTCCTCGTCCTTCCGCCTGACGTGGCAGGCATCACGCTGCTCGCCTTCGGCAACGGCGCGCCCGACGTCTTCACCGCCGTCGCCGTCGCCAACCGCGCCGACTTCCCGCTCCTCCTCTCCGACTTGCTCGGAGGATCGGTCTTCATCACCACCGTCGTGCTGGGCGCTGTCGCGTGGTATGCGAACGCTCCGCCGAGTGTCTCGAGCCGCCGGCGGACCGGGCGGACCGCGAGCCTAGATGCGGGAGACAGAGCCCTGTGCTCCAGCCAGCACTCGAGACGACACGACTTCGGGCCGGGGTCACTCTCCGCCCACCCTCACCTCCCCACACCAGGACCGCGTCGCTGCTGCCGTCTGCGGCGCGTCGGCCGCGGTCGTGGTCGGTGGAGCCGTTCACCTTTTGGCGCGACCTGTGCGCCTTCTCCCTCGCCCTCCTCGCCATCCTCTCTGCCGCCGCGCGCGGCTCCATCGGCCTCCGCTCCTCCCTCCTCTTCCTCCTCCTCTACCTCGGCTACATCGCCTGTGTCGTCGGGCTGCCGCGGCTCGGCTGGGCACGCGAGGCGATGCTCCCTGTTAGTGTAGGCTATGTAACAACTAACAGTCAGTGTAGGCTCGGCTGGGCACGCGAGGCGATGCTCCCTGTTAGTGTAGGCTATGTAACAACTAACAGTCAGTGTAGGCTCGGCTGGGCACGCGAGGCGATGCTCCCTGTTAGTGTAGGCTATGTAACAACTAACAGTCAGTGTAGGCTCGGCTGGGCGCGCGAGGCGATGCTCCCTGTTAGTGTAGGCTATGTAACAACTAACAGTCAGTGTAGGCTCGGCTGGGCGCGCGAGGCGATGCTCCCGACGCGGCTGCGCCGCTCCTCCACCCTCGCGCCGCTCTGCACCTCCCTCCGCGCCTCCCTCCGCTCCTCCCTCCGCGCCTCCCTCCGCTCCGGCGACCGCACGCCCCGCCACGCCTCCGGCCACGCCTACACCTCCGGCTCGTCCGCCCTCAGCGAGTCACAAGCCTCGCTGCCGTCGCTGCCGCACCTTCCCGCGGGGCGCAGCCGGGACGGGCCTCTCTCCGCCCCCCTCTCCTCCTCCCTCTCCTCTTCCCTCTCCGCCCCTCTCTCAGAGAGAGGGGCTGACAGGGCGGCGGCGGCGGGCAGCGGCGGCAGCGCGGGCGGGGGCGCGGGCGCGGGCAGCGGCGGCCTGGGCAGCGGCGGCGGGGCAAGGCGCCCCATTCCGGGGGGCGGCAGCGGGGGCGTCGGCGGCGGTGGCGGCTCGTACAGCGGCGCAGCGTACGTGAGCTGGAGGGCGCAGGCGATGGGGTTCGAGGAGGCGGAGGGGGAGGGGGAGGAGGGGGAGGGGGAGGAGGCTTTCGACGGCGACTGGCCGCTGGTCGGGCTCGTGTTTGAGGCCGAGGCCGAGGCGGGCGGGCTTCTGCGCGCTGCCTACGCCGCGCTGTGGGTGCTCGAGTACCCGCTGACCCTCCTCCGCTACCTCTCCATCCCCGGCGCCGATTGCGGGTGGGATGGCGCGCGGCGGCGCCTCACGCTGGCGAGCTTGCCGTTCGCGGCGCTGCTGCTGCACGTCGAGTGCTCCGGCAAGCAGCTGTGGCCGGCGCTGGAGGCGCAGCTCTCCGGCACCGAGCTGCCTCTCTGGGCGGCGCTCGCGGCGGGCGGCGCCGCCGCCTCCCTCCTCCTCCACTGCTGCACCCGCGCCGACACCGTGCCGCCTTTCCACGCGGGGGAGGAGGTGTGAACAGCGCCTCTTCACACCTCCAGCTGTGAACAGGTGCCGCCTTTCCACGCGGCGCTCGTGCTCGCCGGCTTTGCGGCGACCATCGCTTGGCTGGACTTGCTCGCCAAGGAGGCGGTGGCCATCGTCGAGTCGATCGGCAAGATCTCGGGCATCTCCACCTCCATCCTCGGCCTCACCGTCATCGCCGTCGGAAACTCTGTCGGGGACTTTGTCGCCGACACGACCGCCGCGCGGCGCGCGGACGCGCGGATGGCGGCGTCCGCGGCGTTTGGCTCTCCGCTGCTCATGCTCATGCTCGGGACGGCGCTCCCTTGCCTCCTCTTCACCGCCCTCAACGGACGCCCCATCGACACGCCGATCTCGGCGCACTGCCGCGTCGCCGCCGCCTTCCTCCTCTGCGCGCTCGCCTCGCACGCGGTGGCCTTCCCGATCCCCGCCTTTGGCGGGGCCTACTCGGTCCCTCGCGCCTACTCCTTCTACCTCTTCTCTCTCTACGCCGCCTTCCTCACCATCTCAGTGCTGCTCGAGGCGGGAGCGCTGCCGAAAGGCTGGGTGTGCTCCCTCGGCGGCGGGTCCGGCTGCTTGACCTGAGAGCAGGCGATCATCACGTCCGCACGCCCCCGGCTCTCGCCCTCTCGGGACCCACCTCTTCAAACTGTTCAATTTCCAGTCCCATCAGCATCAGCCATCACCCCTTCGCCATTGCTCTCGATCAGATGTATTTATTTTGCGGCGCGATCCATGGCCGATTGCGTTGAGCCTCACCTTTCACAAAAGCACAGTCCACACAATGACAAAATCCGACGCATTTACTCATGAACCAACATCGAAAACGGCAAGGAACCCTCTCCGGCGTCACACCTTGTAACATACTACTCGCCCGGCACCCCGGCAGCTGCTCCGGCGGCCCGGGCGGCCGCCTTGGCGAGCGCGCCGTACGCCATGAGCGGGTAGCAGAGCACGCCCGAGCAGATCACAATCGCACGGAAGGCACCCTTTCCCAGCCGCTTCTCCAGCAGCTGCTGGACACCCCCCGTCCCCGCGGGCTGCTGAGCCTTCGCCCTGCGGCGCCCCGCCAGCATCTGCGGCGATGTCGATGACCTCGCGACGCCTCCGCCTCCGCCTCGGCCTCCGCCTCTCCCTCCGCCTCCGCCTCGGCCTCCCGACTCCCGCCTCGCCGCCGCTGCCTTGGCCTGCTTCGCCATACGCGCTCGGCGGGCGGCCAGTGCGGAGCGGCCAGCCTCAGCGGCGTCCGACCTGGAGACTGCCCGAGAGTACCTCTCCCGCGCCCCGTCCTGCACCTCCGCCGCTGACTGCCGCAGCGAGTCACTCGCGCCATAGACGCGGCCTCTGCTCGACGCAAAGTCGAGGCTGTCCCTCCGCTGAGCGGCCGCAGCCGCGCGCTGATCGTCGTCCTGCAGCATCGCGTACGCTTCGACAAGGGCCGCGAAGGCCGTCGGGTCGCCCCCAGCATCAGGATGCAGCGATTTGGAGCGCCGGCGGTAGGCCGCTCGGATCTCGGCGGCACTCGCGTCGGGAGTCACCCCTACCAGCTCAAAAGGGTCGCCGGCTGTCGAGAGTCGGACGGTACTTGCGCGCGAAAAGCTGGGGATCGCGGGGTAGAGCAGCAGCATATGTCAGCAACTCAACACGATTGGAGATTGAAGATCGCAGCTGGCGGCGGCAGGGGTCAAATGGGAGATTGGAGCGTCCCCCAAGCGGTCGCTGCCGCGAACTTTCACGCACCGCTGGGCCGACCGATTTCTTTTGGCCGGCCTTGCTTGCCGCTTTGATGGATCGACCGTGCTTGTTATCAAAACCGATGTGACGTACACAGTGACACATCAGACGACACAGAGTCTCCCACCCGCCGGCCCGCCGGGCCGCCAAAACGCTCTCGACGAGAGCCACAAGAAGCCGTCCGGTGGAGCCGAGCGCGCGGAAACCGGAATCGACGATGGCGTGCCGGCCATGGGCCCGGACGAAGGTCCTGGCGAAAACGCGAGCAGAGGCTGCCGTGTGGGGTCAGTGGGGCCACGGCGAGCCTCGGGCGAGAAAGTCAGCCCGGGTAGAGAGAGAGCAGCTGCTATATAAAAATTCCGGCTTGGGCAAAAGAAAGAAAGAAAGAAAACAGACAACCCAAGGGAGGGATGGGAGGACGGCACGCCGCCACCACACAGGGATTTTAAGGAGAGGTGTGTGGTGCGCTATCCGTCGCCCACCCTAGGGAGTCTGCCTCTTCCTATCTCTCTTCGCAGTCTCTCGCCTATTCTCGCTGCAACCTTCATGCCACCTCGCGGTCGTCCCACCCTCGTCGTTCTCTCCCTTGTCACTTCCTCCTCTGACGCGTTGTTCTCTTCTGCCTCGTCCTGCGACGCCGCCACCTGCCGGTCCCTTGTTCTCGCGGCTTCTTTCGCCTGTCGGCGCAACTCCGTCCTCCTCGCGGCGTATCCTGGCCCCTCGAGTCTATCGAGCTCCCCTCGCGCAAGGACAACATTTCTGACTCCCACACCGATCATTTGCCTACAGGTCATGTTGTTGCTCAGGTCCACTCTCTCTTCGAACACTCGTGCCTCTACGGATGATGCCGGCGCTGGGTTCCCCTTCGGATGCATCGTGACATCTGACAACTGGATTTCCACTGGTTCGTCCTCCTCGTAGTCTTGGGCAGGAACTTTCACTCTAAAGCGCGCGATTTCTTTTGGCTGGCCTTGCCGCGCTCGCCGCCTCCTGGCGCGCGGCAGCCAGGGCGGCAGGACCCATGGACAACCGGCTCGACCAGCCGCTCGCACCCGCGGTGGAACGCCACGAGGCGACAGTCAAGAGGTGGGCTGTGCCGACCGTCGCATCGGCGGCGCACGCAATCGCATTTGCTGCGCGGCGGCGAAGGACGGTGATTGCGCTGCAGACCTGGCTTGACAGCCTCTCCAGCCCTGACGCAGTCGAGCGGGTGGCAGCGATGAACGCGCGCCTATCCGACCAGGCAGCCGCGTTCTATCAGGCCGCTTCGGCGCTGCCCTGCGTACACACCGGATCGGTGCCTCCTCAGCTCGATGCCGATTTGGCGAGGCTGCAGTACGAGCTTGTGCAGCCGCACGGCGAGACGCTCCGAGCTGCAGCCGCCGCTGCGGCGGTGCGTCAGCTCGCCTCGTCGAGCCGGGCGGAGCAGCTCGCGCCCGTCCTCTCTATCGCCGACCAGTCGCTGCTCGGAGGTGCGACGGCCGAGCTGCACGCGTTTGCGGACTTTGACCTCTCCATTGGCGTGGTCGCCGAGTCGTGCACCCTCCGCATCGACCTCGGCCGAGCAAACCCGCGCGTTGATGCGGAGGCGAGCTTCGCCTTCACCACGCTGAGCGGAGACGATCAGAGGCCGCTGGTCCTCGCCACCGCGCGGGCGAGCGTTGTGGCGTGGCCCTCGCTCCGAGCACTGGAGCAGACGCTGCAGCCGCCCCGAATGTGCGCCGTCACGCTGGCCGAGCTCGAGAGGGCGGCCGCCGCCGTCGCCGCGCGCGCCAGCTTCATCTCTGACGCCGCCGCCGCCGAGGAGCGCCGCGTGAGACGCTCGCTCCGGATCGCAATCTTGGTGCTGGCGCCGCTGCTGCTCGCCTTCCTGCCCGCTTACATCCTCGCGTACGTGCTCGTGGCGCTGAGAAACCATTGCGTTGGTGCCGGGTGACCGAGTGGTGGTGTGGTGCTCGTCGGTGGTGGCCGCGGTGGGGTCGGTCCGGCGCTGCATGCACATGCACATGCACATGCACATGCACATGCACATGCGCATGTCCGTCCCATGTGCATGTGCATGAGCTAGCAGCCAGATGCAGCCGCCGCTTGTACGGCTCTACCAGGTCGATGAGAGGCGTGGGACGCTACGTCGCATTGCGTTGAGCGACTGCATAGGTTGCAATAGAGCCAGAGACATATTAATAAACATTTAAGACCATTTTTTCCCCCGGCCAGCCACGATTATGGTACTCGCCAGCATCAGGCCAGCATTCACACATGCCACGCTCCACAAGTCGTAGAGTCCTTCAAGTGCAGGCTGGCTGCTCCGTGCTCGATGCATGCACTGTCGGCGTGTCGCCATCGGCGTCGAGCTGCAACGCCTCCCTCAGCCCGCGCGCCGCGCGCTCAAACGCGGGTCGCACCGCCGCCATCCGGCCGTGCAGCTCCGCGCGCAGCAGCCTCGCCACACCGTCGGGGCCAGCGGCCGCACCACCTAATGAAGACCCCGAGAGCGTCACGGAAGGTGCCACCCAGCGCCGCCGCGGCGGGCGCGCTCGCGCCGTCCGCGGCGCGGCTGTCCGGCTCGGCGCCCGCCGCGGCGCACGCGACCACCTCCTCGAGCCGCTCGTCGCTCAGCAGTTGCGGCAGCTCGACGAGCGCTGCGACCAGCGCCTCCCGCTCGATGCGCAACGACTTTGCCAGCGACTTGAGGAAACTGCGCGGCTTGAGGCTGCGCGCCTACACGGGCCCGGGAAGCTCCAGCGACGCTGCCGGCGTCTCGACACGCGCCTGAGGCGGCGTGCCATGGGCAGCAGCTCCTCGTTGATCGAACGCGTCGCGTCGGCGGCCACGTCCGCCAAGTTGCTCGCGTCCACAAAGTTGTGCGTGAGCGAAGTGACCACGCCGGCCGGGCCACCCAAGTTGCGCACGGCGTGCACGCACCGGCTCGGGTTGTAGCACACGTCCCCTGCGGGACAGGCTCCGAGAAGGATGGACGGATGCGCCACGCGCCGGCACCGGGCTGTGGCGCGCGTCACCGGCGCGCTGCACGCCGCGGTAGAGCCGCGCAGAGCGGGCGTGAGGCCACGCCTCGAAGAGGTCGCGTGCGAAGAGGTCGGGGAGCGGCGCGCCTCGGTAGGGGTGGGGGCGGGGGCGAGGGTGAGGGAGAGGGGGAGGGAGAGGGAACACGCGAGGGAGAGAGCGAAGACTGCGGCTCGATGGAAGAGGTGGAATCGGCGCACCGCCGTCGTCGTCGTCGTCCTTGTACCCGAACGCGCGGCTCCCGCTGCCGCTCGTGAGCAGTTCGTGGTCGCCGCCGTGCGCGCAGACCCACTCCTTCTCTCCCGCGGCCACCCACAGCCAGGCCGAGGTGAGGTTCGTGTCGACGTGTGTTTCAGAGCCAGAGCCGGCCGTGCCTAGTCAGTGGAGGAAGCCGCTACAGGAAGCCGCTACAGAGTCAGGTGAGGGGTGTCGGATAGAGCTGGCCGCGCCGATGTAGAGCCACTTCATGTCGGTGGCAGCGTTGCCAAGCACCACGTTCCTAGTAGGTAGGACCTCAGATCGTGAGGCAGTTGAATTCCGCTCTAGCGACTCTGCATCCAGGGCGACGCTCTCGCGCAGCCAGGCCGGAGCACGCTCGAAGTAGCGAGGCACGTCGAAATCGGCCTGCAGCGCGCCTGTTTTCACACATACATCGGGCGTGTCCTGGACACGTCCATGGTCCCAACCTCAGCTTGAGCGCGCCACTGTTTTCACGCACGTAGTCCCACGCGGAGAGGTAGACTGGCCGCCCGCCGGCACGCCTCACCGCCTCGAGCGCCTTGCCGACCGTCGTCCGCCTAGACACGCAGAGGAGGCTGGGTTCAGCCGCGAGCAGTCGACTCGCAGTCGCTCGGATACAGCGCTGCCTCTCCTTTGCCTCCTGCGGCGGCCCGTCCGCCATGTGCACCCGGTGTGTTTGGTCCACGCCCTCGTGCGCTAGCAGGTACTCGGCGTTCCACTCCCGCGCGCGCCAGCTTGGCCCGAGGTTGGTGATGAGGCAGGGCTGCCGCGGCAGCGCGTACTCGCGCAGAAAGCGCTCGTACGTCAGCGTCGCGCCGTCGACCACCGGTAGCGGAAGGAAGCCGGCAGGCAGGCTGGGTCCTGGCCCTGCCTGGGACGCGGCGTCCTGCTGCCGGCGCGATGCGGCCGCGAGGAAGGTAGCCGACATGTACCCGCGGTACGGTGCTTTCGACGTAGCTGCTTTCGACGTAGCTGTCGTAGCTGTCAGCAGGGCAGGGCGTGGCTGCAGCTCTTGCCAGCGCCGTGCCCGGGGCAGGTCCAGCATCAGGGCTCGTTTTTTTTTTCATTCCTGGTTCCGCCGACGCTGCACGAGCCGGTCTATGAAAGGATTCCGACCACCGCGCTGGCTGCCTCTGGTGACGCCCGTCGCGGCTCTGCTCGCCTCGGCCCCGCTTCCTCGCGTCGCCGATCCGGAGCACGTCCAATCTGTGTACCAGCGCCTCCTCGCTGCGAGCGAGCTGGTCGACGCCGTCACTGGCCGCGTCGTCCTTTCGAGCGCGGATCTTGCGAGGGCCCGCGCCGACATGCACCTGCAGCCGCGTTCCGAGGACGTTCCTGCCGAGCCTCCGGGCGCGTTTCTGCCAGCCGAGGTCTTGGCCGAGGACCCGGTCGATGTGACGGAGCTGGTGCTGGACACGCTGCCGGAGGTGCTCGCGGTGCACCCTGCATTCCTCTTCATGGCCGAGCAGACGGTCGGCAACGACGCCTTTCACGAGAGCGTGTACTTTGGCACGGCGGTCCGCGACGAGCATAGCCTCGCGTTTCCCGCTCTCTGCAGGCGTTTCGTCGCCAGCATCTACCTGTTTGAGACCCTTCTTGCGCTCGGCGATGGCTCGCACCGCGCACTTGCACACTGGTATGAGTCGCTGTACCTGGAGGGCTCGACGGGCGAGCGGTCGCGCCCTTTCTCGGTGCGCGACGCGCTGATGGGCTTCTTCCTCGCCCTAAAAGGCGAGTCCGTCCTCGCCTCCATCAACGCATTCGAGGAGCTGCGGCGGCTGGACCGGGCCGGCGAGGCGACGGGCGTGGCGCTGCGCTCGCTGAGCGACGTCCTCAACGCAATCATGCGGCTCAACATCTGCGAGGCGGTCCTCTCCAACCTCTCCTTCGCCTTCTGGCCCGACAATGCGCGTGCGGGGATGGCCCTTCTGCTCGCGCCGCTCGGCGCCTTTCGCGCCGGCGGCCAGCAGGACCTCTCGCCAGAGTGGCTCCGGCTCTACCTGGCGTGGAACGCCAACTTCATCTGGCCGTCGCACTATTGCCCCGACATGATGTGCTTCACCATGCTGGCCATGCCGTCCTTGGCCCTGGGCCCGCCCGAGCAGTTCCAGTACCGCCGCGCACACACCCTTTTTTGGGTGGTACGCTCCACGCAGATCACGCGGAGGATGTGCGGCGCGGAGCGCGTCGCGCGCGCGGCGGCATTCGGCGTCCCGGCGAGCGAGTTCGAACGGCCGCCCGCCGAGCAGCAGGTGCCCTGCTTCCACTGCCGCCAGCTGGAGCCTCGCTCGGACCGGCAGCCCCTCACAAGCAGGACGGCGAAGCTCACCCGTGCCGAGGGCGAGGTGCTGGCGCGCGCGTGTGGTGGGGACGTGGGGGAGGGGAGTGGCGTATGGCGGCGCCTCGCGCTGGAGGTTGTGCCCGAGCAGATCACCAGTCTCACTCGCGTCTACAGTCGAATGCCCAAGCGGGGCCTCGCCAAGCTGAGGCTGTTGTGACGATGCTTGGGGGAGACTTGCCCCCCCGCCGCAATGGTTGGGTAGTAGGGCTAGAGGGTCGCTCTACACTTAGCCTCTGCAGCGAGCGAGCGCTCAACTTAGCCCCCGCACGGAGCCGGGCTCAGACTTAGACGCTGGAAGGCCGGGGGCCATGAACTTAGACGACACGAGGCCAACTCCGGGTAAAACCCGGGTATACCTGCAAAAGTCCAGGTTTACCCGAAAAATACCTGGACGCGGTCCCGACCAGCGTATGCCGCGCACGACGCCGCCATATCGCCGTCTCCCAGGGCCAGTGCGCTACTTGCGGCGCGCAACGCCTGCTCAAGTACGCGCACCGTACCATGTGCTGCCGCTATGCGTGCCTTAAGGCGGCTGCGGCGAAGCGGCGGGCGCGGCATGCCGATGGCAGTGCGGACGATGCGGTTGCGATGTGTTCTGCTTCAAGATCGTGGCGGTGCTTGGCATGCACTTCTGCGATCCCAATCAGACAGCTCATCGCAACGAAGCAGCGCAACAAGCTGGCTGCTGCCAACAAGGCCCTATGCTACCTCACGCGCGGATCGTTCAAAGAGGACCAGCATACACAGGCTTCTCTGACATGCGTTTGTTTGAGCTTGAGGCTATTTGTGAGAACTATTTGGCTAGATGTCGCCGAAGTGCGCTCAAGAAGCAGCAACGAGAATCGGAAGAGGAGGATGCTGAGGCGGCGATTGCTGAGCATGAGGAGGATCGATCGCCCGCCGCGCAGGCGAAGAAAATTTGGGCGCGAGCGCCGTATATCGCGTGCCATGGCCGACTTAGCCGGTGTAAGAGGCTCCCGCTGATCTTAGACCGCGTAAGCACTCCAGCGTGGCTAGCCACACTTAGACCCGTTAAGCCGCGAGGCTCAGAACTTAGACTACTACCCAACCAGTCCCGCCGCGGGCCGCGGGGCCCGGGCCGGCTCGTTCGCGCCGCTTTCGCGAATACTTTGTTTTGTTTGTACGAACACCACTGAGTGACACTGCAAGACACCGCAAGTACTAGCTACTACTACCTTGGAACTGAGAATGACAATTGTGCGCTCTTGCTGCGCTCTTGCCAATTATGGTCGTTATGCAATGTGGCTGTGCACCCTGTGGTCTCCACACGCCCCCCCGCCCCCCTCCCCCCGCCGACCTGCCTCGGCAGCAACCCTCGATGCAAAACGAGTAACTCCCCCGTGACCCCTCTCCGCTCCACAGTGCCATCGGAAACGCCCGCCTTGTCCAGTCTGGCAGTGTGTGGCTGCTCAAGCGGCAGGGGACGCCATCCCCCACCTAGCACCAGGCTTGGCCAAGCAGCAGGGCAGAATGCACCGCAGCCAGGAGGGCGCGGCGGCCTGGGAGGGTCCCGCCGTCGCCTTGCTGGGCGTCGTCGGCGCATACTTCTTCTGCAACGTGTCAGGCCCACTGGGGTTGGGCTTGGGCGCGACCGTCGACGACGACTTTGCCTTGACAAAGAAGGGGTTGTCCTTGATCGAGATTGAGGCGTTCAACACCTCGCCCATGCCCTTGGGCGTCGAAGGCTCGGCCGGAGACGGGTAGTTCACAGCCGACTCAAAGCGTGGCGAGGAGGTCATGCTGTTGCTGGGGGACGCCAGCCAACTCGAGTCGCAAGAGGGAGTAGACGACGAGATGCCGGAGGGGTTCGAGGCTGAGTTAGCGCGGATGTAAGAGTAGGCTCCGGGCGAGAAGGCCTGGCTTGGCATCGCCATGCCAACCCCGCTCTTCTCGAAGCTATCGATCAGACCGCGGTTGGCGGCACCATACTCCGCCCTTCTTGGGGAGCGAGTTGCTCCACCGCCAATGACCAGATCGACCGACTTCTTGCCGGCTCCGCCCCCAGATGACGCGGGCGATGGCTGCGAATACCGTGCTTCTGACGATAGCTGAGAGCGTCGCGCCTCTGGTGTTGAAGCAGCCGCGACCAGGGTCTCCGCCGGCTGGCTCTCCGTCTCGCTGGCAGACGGCGGCTCTGGAGGTGGCTGGCTCTGCTCCTCGCTGGCAGTCGGTGGCGGCAGCGGTGGCGTTGGGATGTCATCCACGGTGCCCTCGACGGCGCAGTTGACGCCGAGCGGTTGGCGGCTGCCTTGGGAGGACTTCTCGAGGTGCTGCTTCACCAGCATCTCGTCTGCCGAGGGCATCCGCGACCAGTGTGTCCGTGCTGCCACCTGCTGCGCCGAGCTTGCCTTGAGCCGCGAGAGAGCCGCCTCGTAGTCCAAGTCGGTGTCCAGCCTCTCGCTCGTAGGCGTGGCCTCCGACTCACGCGAGACCGAAAGGCGCGATGACGAGCGCGCTCGTGCGAGTGCGCCCTCGCGTGCGGTCTGAACGGCGGGCATGTATTGCACTACACGAGCGGAGTAAGGCTCCTTGGAAAATGCGCCCGCCGAGAACGTGGACGATTTCAAACGACAAGATTTAGAGAAAATATTTCGAAGCAGTAGGATTGGACAGATAGGGTGGCATGAAGGTCGCGGCGAGAAAAGGAGACTGCGAGGAGAGATAGGAAGAGGCAGACACCCAAGGGTGGGCGACGGATAGCACCAACCACACTCCTCTGCCTTAAAATCTCCCTCCCTGTGCGCTGTCTGTGGTGGCGGCGAGGCGGCGTGCCGTCCTCCCATCCCTCCCTTGGATTGTCTGTTTTCTTTCTTTCTTTTCTTAGATAGGTTGATAAGAAACAAGAAGCTCACATCGCAGCACGCAGGCAGTGAGGGCGTAGAGGCGGACCTAAGGACGGTCCTACTAACACGCGATGAACACATCAAAAGGGTGTTAGAATGGCGTGAATTATGAGGGTGTTGGATTAATTCGCGATTGCTGTAGCGTAGCGAGACCACAGACAGTAAGCTCCCCCCTCCCCCCCTCCCCCCAGCCCGCCCGCCCGCCCGCCAGCCTGCCATCGCGCGGCTCTATGCAGTATGGGCGCCCCGACGGACGCGTGCTGCCCGCTGATCCGATTGTGACCATCTGACCAACCACAACAAACATCAAAACAAATACATACAAAGAAGAAGAGAACAAGAAATCTCTCTCTCTACAAAGAAAGAAAATCAAGGCACGCGTCAACGAAAGAAGAATGGATGTCGCTTATTTCTCTTTTTCACTTTTTGCCCTCGATAGATTAAAGGTACAGATCCCGGAAAATTCGTTGTTCTGACAGGCGGAAGGCGGAGGTCGCTGGTGGATTGTTTTGGGCGTCGCTCGGGGGTGTCTGTTGATTGTGCTTGCTGGTGGCTAGATGCAGCCACTCCTCCACGAGCGCATCTTGGCAAAGCCTGCCTTTGCCTTGAGCCTCGAAGCGCACGCGCTTGGATCGCTGGACTCCTCGCCCCGTGCCTGGTTTCAGCTCCGCACCAAACCAGACGCCAAGCCGCTGGGCGAGGCCAACGCGGACGCGCAGCAAAAGACTTCATATTCAGAGGCTTCAGATGTGCTGGTTGAGATTCAAGCCGCGCGGCTTATTGGGATCCGTTCTCAGTCGGACGGTTACTACGCGGTCATGGGCATCTCGGACGATCAGAAGGAGATGGTCAATGCCCTCGTCTCGGCTGCAAAGCACCACGTTGGCCAGGTTGTAGAGGGCAGTGACCGGGAGCTCGTCTCGCCGCTGGATAGCGCAACGGATGAGGACCTTGCCATGGGCATCGCCGCACGTCTCAACTGCAAGATCAGCGTCTTTGCGGGCCGAATGACGGCGGCGAGCATCATCTCGGAGCACGGCGAGGCCCTCTTTCGGCCTGGCAGCAAAGCCGTCGGACTCTGCGAGCAGCCGCCTGCAGGAGTGTGCGACGCTACAGTTCACATGATGGGCTTCTGGCACGACGAAACCCAGTATGGTCCGCTCCTCTATCTCCGCACTGGCCGGATCATCATGCAAGATGGGGTCCCCGAGTTTCCAGAGACGCCACTCACATCGTCCGTGTTGACTGCCCTTGGGGCAGAAGAGCCCACGGCCGACCCTCTCAGCCCATCCGATAGCATCCGTTCTCTCGCGTCTACTGTCGAGTGCGATGACGAGGTCGGCGACGAGTACGGCAACAAGAAAGACATCGCAGTGGCTTGGGCCAACCGAAACGCGTTTTGAGCGAGAGCAAAGACAAGAAGCTCTTCAAGAGGTGTGTGTGCATGAGCCAGGCGGGGGGGCGCGGCTGGGGCGGCGTACCGTATGCAGAAAGCGGCACGCCGCGTCCTCTGGATGCTTCAGGCGAAGGGGGGGAGGGGGGGAACTAACTCGTGAGATAAACGAATGTGTCGGCGGACCGTGACTGTATGCAAGACTGACTGTGCTGCGGCGTCGACTGTGCTCCCGCGCCGGCGGCTCTCTTCCAACGGCTTCCGGTTCCGTGCCGCCGCTGTGTGTGATGTGAGTTACTGTAGTTGGTGAGATTGTGATGGTCATATGACTATGTGTCGGGGTCGGTGTGTGGTTTGGGCGCGATCTCGGGATCACACGCCTTGTGTCAACTTTTTTAGCCATAGCGCTCTAAATAAACAACTTTTTTCCTAATCCGGCATCGCGAGGGGAGACGGATACGTATTCGTGTACGTGTGTAAAAATCCAGCATCCACTCAAGCAGGACCCTGCACCAGATTGGTGGCGTGTTTCACGCGGGGCGCCCTTCCTTGTCGTAGTGATCGAGCGCCCATGACACGGTGTTCTGTAAGGGCGTGACCCGTCGCGAGACCGCCGCCACCATGGCGCCCATCTCTGGCGAGTCCCGCGGCAGCTGTTTCTTGAAAGCGTCGAGCTCCGCGTGGTGGCGCTGCAGCGCGGCGTGCAGCTTGGGCACGCGTTCGCGCGCGCCCGGGTGGGCTGCGAGCGGGAAGCACGCGTAAAAGTAGCGCAGCAGCTCGACGGTGCGATCCTTGAAGTCGTTGATCTCGCTCTGCAGCCGCGGCTCGGGGAGGGCGACCCCCCCCTCCTCCCCGCCACCCCCCGCCGGCGCGGCCGCGCCGGTGGCCACGGCGAGCGCAACTTCCCTGCTCAGCCGCCGCCCAGCAGGCCCGCCCTCAAACTCGCCCATCTTGCCGTTGAACGGCGAGCCTTCCCGCTCAGCTTCGCCCAGGAAGGCTCGCACCCGCTCACCCGTCTCTGGCCGGCCGATGCCCTCTCCAGGAGCGGGAGCGCCAGAAGCCGCCGCCTCTCCTCTTGCTGCCGTCGACGCCTCCGCGCCTCGGGACGCCTCGCCGTTGAGCGGGGCGGCGCCGTGCGGCGCGAGCTGCGGCGGGAGCGGCTGTAGGCGCGGCGCGGGCGCAGGCTCGAGGTCTGGGAGGCCCACCCAGCTCGAGCGAACCTCGCGCCCCCTCGCGCGGGCAGCCTCGCTCTCGGCCGCGGCGTCGACCGCGCCGCTCACTCCGTCCAGCACGACGCGCCCGTGGCTGTTGTAGCCTTGCAGCATCGCTCGCAACCCTCGATCGCGCTGCCCCTCGCGCCGCGCGCCCGCGCCGCTCTCGTCGTCGCGGCCGCCGGCCGCCAGGCCGCGCTCGTCGTCTGGAGCGAGCCCGTAGCCTGCGGACACGTCGCGGACGCGTCGCCGCCGTGCCGGGGGTGTGCGGAGGGGGATGTGGCGACGGACCCGGGGGTGGGGAGAGGCCAAAGGTGGCACGCCGTGGTGCGGAGGCTGGGCAAGGCACGGTGTGTCGAGACGGGAAGCGTCTCGGAAGCGTCTCGGAAGCGTGTCGGAAGTGTCTTGGAAATGGCCCGCACCGCCGCGAGCGACGACTGCCGACACCTCCTCGCCTGAGGCGGGGGGGGGTGGGGGGCGCTTCGGAGATGCGTGCCGTCTTGGCGGCGCCCGAAGAGCTGGGTTGCATCTCGGCCGCATCTCGGCCGCATCTCGGCTTCCTCTCGGCTTCATCTCGGCTTCCTCTCGGCTTCCTCTCGGCTACTCTCTCTCGCCCGCGAGCTGCGTGTCGGGATAGAGAGCGCTCTCCCTCCTCCGCTTGCGGGTCGGTGGGAGGCCCGCCTCCTGCATCATCAGCAGCAGGGGAGCGTGGGTGGCTGCTCTAGGCGAGCCGGAGACGGCCAGGCGTACGGGTCGCAGGGCGTGAGTGCGATGGGTGCAGCCGAGCGCGTGCCGGCTCGAGTGCTAGTTGCAACACGGGCGTGTCCAGCGCCTAGCAGCCCCACACTAGGTGCAGCCTCTCACCTCTGGGCCGTCTGGCGCCTCCGCCTCAGCGGCCTGGCAGACAGGAGGTGGCAGACAGGAGGTGGCAGGAGTTAGGGGGCGGGCTCAAAAGCGGAGGGGGGGACGGGGGCGGCGGCGAGGGAGGGGGCGGTGATGGAGGCGGCAGCGACGGCGGCGGTGGGCATGGTGGGGGCGGCGAGGGTGGGGGTTGGACTGGTGGCGGTGGGCTAGGTGGCGGCAGGGAGGGCAGGGCGGGCTGTGGGTGGTGGTGGTGGTGGTGGTGGTGTGGGGGGGGGAGGGGGAGGGTTCGGTCGGCGGAAGCGCGCCTCTGAGGCGCGGAGCCTCGCCTCCCTCTTTGCCTGCGACCGAAAGTAGCGGTGCCAGAACGCGCCTTCCGACAGGTTGTGCGGCACATTGTCGAGGAACGAGCGCTGCACCCTCGGGTACTTTTCAAAGATGCGCGCGATCATCGCCGGCGTGAGCGTGAAGGCCACCGTCGCGGCGTTCGCCTCCGGCTGCTCGCACCCCGCGGCGGCGGCCGTGGCGGCCGAGCTCTCCGCGTCGGTGGGCTGCTGCCGCCGGGTCGAGAGGCCCTCGCGCTGCATCGCCGCCCGCAGCAGCCCGCGTCGCTGCGCCCAAAAGTCGGCGGCGGAGAGCACACCGCTCCCCACCACCGACTGGTACAGGCGCCGCAGCTCGGGGTCCGAAGAGAGGTGCCGATCGGCAGCCGCCTCCTCGGCAGCGCTCAGCCCCGCGCTGCCCGCGGCGGGAGCGGGGCGAGCTCCGCCTCCTCCGCCGCCACCGCCTCCGCCTCCGCCGCCTCTTCCCCCGCCGCCTCCGCCTCCGCCGCCTCTTCCCCCGCCGCCGCCGGGTAGAGCACGCCCCGCCGCTGCTGCCGCCCCGGTGCTTCTCCTCGGCGCGGCTGCGGAGGGTGCCACACCGCTGCCGCTGCCTCCGCCGCTGCTGCCACCACTGCTGCCGTTGCTGCCGCCACCGTTGCCGCCGCCGCCGCCGCCGCCGCCCGCCGCCTGCTGCTGGAGGGGGAAGAACGTCTCGGCTAGGCGCTGGCGGTCCTCGAGCGCCTCGAAGGTGAAGATGTGCGACTCGCCCGAAGCGAGCACGATCTTGGCCATGACGTTCCCGACGCTCGCCTTGGACTGCTTGAAGGCCGAGATGGCCGCGAGCGCGATGACGAGGCGAGGCGCGCCGTGCGGCTCAAACTCGAGGCGCTGCTGGGTGAGTCGCAGCTGGCCGCGGCTGGCCGGCTGCTTCACGGCCCGCTGGTGCGACGCCGCGCATGCGAATAGGAGGCCCTCGTCGTGCTGGGCCGGGCGGCTGACTGCCTGCGTCGGCTCGGTCAGATCCACACACGGAGCGTCAGGAGTGGGGTCCGCGCCGCTCTCGAGGCGCCGCAGCTCGGCCTCCTCGTCGAGGTCGACGTCGGCGGTCGTGCGAGAGTAGCGAGGCGGCATGGCCAGGTTCCAGCAAAGAGAAAGTGCTTCGGGCTTCCGGTGATGTTCGCCGCCACCAAAAGAAGAAAACAAAACCGCCACGCGCCATCCACGCCGACGACCCGTCCTCTGTTTTCGCCGATCACCCGTCCCGCTGCCGATGGCCCGACGTATCTTAAGGCTCGGTGCGCCGATCGGCGCGCTGGCGACCGGCGCCCTCGCTGGGGCGAGCCGGAAGGCGAGCAGCGCAGCGGCTCCAGAGCACTTTGACTTTCTGGTGATCGGCGGCGGCAGCGGCGGCGTCGCCTCGGCGCGCCGCGCCGCGATGTACGGCAAAAGGGTGGCCATCATCGAGCGCGGGCCCGATCGAGACCAGCACGGGCAGCGGCGCGGCGGCGGCTACGGCGGCACTTGCGTCAACGTCGGCTGCGTGCCGAAGAAGCTAATGTACACGGCGGCGGCGCACTTTGAGGCGGCAGAGACCGCGCCCGGGTACGGCGTGGAGATGGGCAAGCCACGGCTCGATTGGGGCGCCCTCGCGGCCAAGCGCGATGCGTACGTCGCGCGCCTCAACGGCATCTACACGCGGAACCTCGACAACGCCGGTGAGGCAGAGGGGCGAGGCGGGTGCCGGGGCCCTGGTCCGAGGAGACGCCGACGCCCGCGCGTGTGCAGGCGTGACCCACGTCGAGGGCCTTGCGCGCTTCGTCGCGCCTCGCGAGGTCGAGGTCGCAGGCGCCCGCTACTCTGCCGACCACGTCCTGATCGCGGTCGGAGGACGGCCGGCGACGCCTCCCATCCCGGGCGCGGAGTACTGCATCTCGAGCGACGGGTTCTTCGACCTCAAGGCGCAGCCGGAGAAGGCGCTCGTCGTCGGCGCGGGCTACATCGCCGTCGAGCTCGCGGGCATCCTGCAGGCTCTGGGCTCCTCGTGTCTAGGAAGTGTCTAGGAAGTGTCTAGGAAGTGTCTAGGCATCCTGCAGGCGCTGGGCTCCTCCGTCTCCCTCGCCGTCCGGGGCGCGGGTGTGCTGCGCCACGGCTTCGACCCGCTCGTGCAGGAGAATCATCAGCGCCGAGAGGAGGGGCCGCTGACCGGCAATCGTGAGAGTTGCTTCTTCGACCCGCTCAGGAGATCATCAACGCCGAGATCCCGCGCTCGGGCACGCAGCTCCTCACCAACACGCAGGCAGTGCCCGTCGAGAAGGACGCCGCTGAGTGGTGAATCACTCACCATGATTTCACTACCAGGTGGTCGCCGTCGAGAAGGACGCCGCTTCGGGCAAGCTGACGGCCAGGCTCGCAAGCCGAGACGCTGCACGGGTCCCCGCCTCTCCCAAAGGGGCAGCTCGTGGCACGGCGACTTGGGGAAAGAGTTGCTTTGTGCTGTGCCTTCCACGGTCCTAGCGCCGTGGCGCCGTGTCGGTAGCCCTTGCGTTCCCGCGATGCGCCGCTGCACTGCACAAGACCGCACTGCACGGGACCGCACGCGGCCTCCTCCGCTCCTCGTGCCCGCCCGCCTCCAGGCTGGCGAGCGGCGAGAGGCTCACGTCGCTCGACTGCGTCTTGATGGCGATCGGGCGGACGCCGGTCACGGCCGAGCTCGGGCTCGAGGCGACCGGCGTCCAGCTGGACGGCAAGGGGCGAGTGGTCGTGGACGAGAAGCAGGCGACACTTCCTAGAGACTTCCTAGACACTTCCTAGACCCCGCAGCCCGAGCTCGCTCCTCCGCCCCTCCGACTCGCCGCGCTAGTCTCGCCGCACGAGACGCAATGAACGAATGAATGAATCAATGAATGGGTCGCCGCAGGAGACGGGCGTCTCCGGCCTCTACTGCCTCGGCGACGCCTCCACCTCCGGCTTCGAGCTGACGCCCGTCGCGATTGCCGCCGGCCGCCGCCTCGCCGACCGCATCTTTGGCGGCGCGGCCGACGCAAAGTTCGAGTATGCAAACATCGCGACGGCGGACCCCCTCGCCTCGCGGGACGGCGGCAGAGGGCCCGCCCTCGCCACACGCCCCCCGCTGCCGCGCGCAGGTGGTGTTTTCGCACCCGACGATCGGGACGATCGGGCTGACCGAGCCGCAGGCGTGCGCCAACTACAGACACCTCTCTCGGGGCTCTGGCCTGGGCTTGGCCTGGGCTGAGGCGCCCAACTCCCACCGCCGAGCAGGCGCGCGAGGCGTACGGCGACGCGAACGTCAAGGCGTACAAGTCGGTCTTCAAGCCGATGCACTTTGCGCTGTGCGAGGAGGAGGCCAAGAAGCCGATGGCGATGAAGCTCGTCTGCGCCGGCGAGGAGGAGCGCGTCGTCGGCCTCCACGTGATCGGCATCGCGGCGGACGAGATGCTGCAGGGCTTTGCCGTGGCCGTCAAGATGGGCGCCACCAAGGTGCGCCGGGAGATGCGGGGAGAGATGCGGAGAGGTGCGGAGATGGGGAGAGATAGGCGACACCAAGGTGCGCCGGCAAGAGTTACGAGCCGAGACAGGCCAGGGGGCGGCTCCAACGTCCTCTCCCTCCCCCCTCCCCTCCCCGCCCCTTCTCTGACGACATCGCCGCTCCTCGGGCCGCGCAGGCGGACTTTGACCACGCCTGCGCCATCCACCCGACGGCCGCGGAGGAGTTTGTGACGATGGGGCCGTGGGGCGCCAAGCCGGATGGGCAGGGCGGCATCGTCCCCACGCCCGTGCCCAAGGGGAGGTGAGGCGAAATGCACGGGGCATTGAGTGTGCGACTGGCCTGCGGCGCGAGACGTTGCGCCACATGTACAGTGGTAAGCTGTTCCTGGGCACTCTCTCGTTCTCTCCCCCCATAGCCTTTGCGCCAAGCGCCACTCACACTGTTCATAGTACATAGAGCGCACTCAGAGTCTCTGTCCCACTCACTTTCGCTGTTCTGAGAACAGCACACACGTTGGTCGTTGCCGCGCGGCCCCGCACCGCACGAGCCACGGACGCATCGAGGGACAAGTCACAAGAGTGCGGCGGGCGCGGGGGGGCGGCGCAGACGTGAGACGAGGATCGGTCATCGCACAGCGGATTGTTTTGAGCGAACTAAAGCCGACACAGCGGGTCACGCGCAAAAGAATTACATGAGGTCTCGCACGACACTGTAAAAAAGAAAGAAAACAGACAGCCCCAGGGAGGAATGGCGGCACTCGGGTTTTTTTCCCACCTTCTTCCCCGTGTACACCCTCCTCTTGCAAGAGCTCTCGTCGACAGCATGGCGCGCTGCTGCAGCACCACCGCCGCCCCCCGCCGCTTCTTTCCGTCGCCGCCCGTCTGCCACGTGCCGCGTGCCGCTCCTCTCCTCTCCGCTCCTCGCCGAGCTCCCTGTCGCCCCCCCTTCCCTCGCGATCGCGCTCCGCCTTGCCGAGCCTCGCTTTCCGCTCGCTGCAGGGTCACGTCAAGATCCTCAAGACCGCGGCGTACCACCAGCGCTACCAGGTCAAGTACCGGCGGCGGCGCGAGGGCAAGACCGACTACCTCGCGCGCAAGCGCCTCGTGGTGCAGGACAAGAACAAGTATGGCTCGCCCAAGTACCGCCTCGTCGTCCGTTGCACTAACAAGGCGCGCGGCGGCCTTCCTACCGCCGGGGGGGGGGGGGGGGGCTGCACACCTGCGGCACCGGGGCGGGCGGCACTGCACGCCCGCCGTCGACTTTCGAGTGCGCGCCTCGACCTGACACGTCGGCACGGGCGCGGTGCGCAGGACGTCATCTGCCAGATCATGCACTCCAAGATCGTGGGCGACGTCTGCCTCTGCGCCGCCTACTCGCACGAGCTGCCAAAGTACGGCATCGAGGTCGGGCTCACCAACTATGCCGCCGCGTACGCCACCGGCCTGCTCTGCGCCCGCCGGCTGCTCCAGAAGCTCGGCCTCGACGAGCAGTACGAGGGCAACGACGACCCGGACGGCGAGCACTTCCTGGTCGAGCATGAGGACGGACCGCGCCCCTTCACCTGCGTCCTCGACGTCGGCCTCATCCGCACGACCACGGGCGCCAAGGTGCACTCCCCCCTTGCCACCCCCCCCACCCCCCCACCCCCCCACCCCGCCCGCCCTCCCAGCCCGCCTCCCGCCCCTAGCACCCGTCCGCCGCCGCCCTCACGCCGCACCCCCCCCCTCCCCCCCCCGAACACACACACACACCCCGCCCCTCCCTCCCTGCCGCCAGGTCTTCGGCGCGCTCAAGGGCGCGGTGGACGGAGGCCTAAACATCCCCCACTCCGACAAGGTACCCCTCCCCCCCCATCCAACCCCTGCCGCGCGCGCAGCCCCGCCCCGCGCTGGCCGCGAGCGCGTGAACGCATGGGCCGGGGGGCCTCTCGGCCCCCCTACAGCTCGTTCGCGTGCCGCCGGCGCCCACGCGCGCCTCTGCCTGCTGCGCGCAGCGCTTCCCGGGGTACGACCCTGACGCCAAGGAGCTGGACGGCGAGACGCACAAGAAGTACATCTTCGGCGGCCACGTCGCCGAGTACATGGAGCTGCTCGAGGAGGAGGACCCCGACCGCTACCAGACGCAGTTCGCAAACTACATCGAGAAGGACATCGAGGCCGACTCGCTCGAGGAGATGTACCAAAAGGCGCACGAGGCCATCCGCGAGGACCCCGAGTTCACGCCGAGCGAGAAGAAGGGCTCGTACCCGGCGATCAACGACCAGCCCAGGAAGACGTACGAGGAGCGCAAGGCCAGCGTGGCGGCGAAGAAGGCGGCCATGAAGGCGGCGCTCGAGGCCGCCGAGGACGACGACGACGACTCGGAGGACGAGGATTAGGAGAGTACGTATTAGTGTGGTCCGTTGAAAACATCGCAAACCCTTGAAAACATCGCAAACCCGCATGGATTTGTCATTTGGAAGGGCTCGCGTGAATTAATGTCATTGATTCAATGTCTGGTCCCAAAACGCGCCACATGACGTCCACCGCCCCGCCGCGTTGGGCGGCGCGCGCCGACGCCGACCATCACCACCGACCGACGGCTCGCACGGCCGTGCGGTGAGCAAAAATTTGGGTCGCTGCGCGCCTGACGGATGCTCTGCGACGTCTGGACGCTCGCCAGAAACGCCAGGAAGCTTGCCTTCCACCCCTGGGCCCGAGGGCGAAAAGCCGGCAGTGCGGGTCGGCAGCCTCTGCGACGCTCCGATCGGCTCCTCGACCTCATCGCCTGCGACGAGCCAGCATGGCTCGTCGCTCGACGGCAGCCTGCTCAGTATGCTCTTGGCATTCTGTACAGCCTCGCCAGGCTCTCTGAGACGGCCTGCAGGGCCGGCGCGGACCGCCTCGGGCGCGATGGCCCTCCTCAGTACCTACCCCTTCGATGCCTGTCGGGGCTCTCCAATCGCGTCGCCGGCGGCAGGCCCGCATGGCGCGCTGCTCGATGGCAGCTTGCTCAGTACGCCTTGGACAGTGACTTCTGCCTCGCTGCTCTTACTGCAGCCGCCTCCGGGGCCGGCGCCAGCCGCCTCGCTTCGCCAGTGCTGTCTACGCCTGCGACACGCGTGTCGGTTCGCCGCCCGCGTCGCCCGCGGCGGGCCCGCATGGCGCGCCGCTCGTCGGGAGCGTTCCCAGCAGGCTGTGCAGGGCAGTCTGCCTCACTCAGGGCGCCGCCGCCGCTGCGCGGGGCCGCCACCGGCGCTGCTGCCGTGAACACTGCCGCCGTGTATGTCACCATCGCCTCTCTTCGTCGCCGATCTCGCCGACGCCGCTCGCCGCTCGCCGCCGCCCTGCCTTGCCCTGCCCTGCCCTCGCACAAACAATGAAACAAACCAACACAGACACACACACAGACACACACACACACACACAACTCCTTGCCCCCGCGCCCTCCCGCCTCACGCCCTGCGCCTCACGCCGCGCGTCCCACGCACGCCCCGCCCCCCGCGCCCCCACGCCCCTCACCTCGCGCCTCACGCCTCCCTCCCCACCCTCTCAGGCATTTCTCCTCCCTGCTGCTCGCCGACTCCTCCTCCCCCCGCACGACCGACGACTACCCGTCCTTCAGCGACTCCTCCCTCTTCGGCGCCAACGCCCACTACCCGTTCGGCCCGGTGAGGGGCAGGAGCGGAGCCATTCCAACGGCTGGGAAAAATTCTGAACGGCCGTGCATGCGCCTGCATGCCGGACAACTAAGAAGGTCCCTCGCTCCTGCTCCTCTCTCGGAAGACGTGCGCCGGCCTGGGGGATTCGCTTGCGATCCCGCTCCAGCCAGAGGCCGCGTGAGGCGTGTGGGACGGTGCACGCTGGGGCTTGGCCCCAAGTGCACTGGCCTCGCGTCTCGAGGGGAGGGCGGCTCGTAACTGAGGTTCGCCGTCGGAGACAGTCGTCCTCCCCTCAACCCGACGAGAGTGGGCGGGCAGTCCCCGTGGCTGCAGTCGCGCTTCCGAGCCGACTCCGCCCCTCTCTCCACCCGGCCATTCCAACGGCCAGGCCGCTCGCTTAAGGCTGATTGGCTAGACGAGCGGCCTACCTCCAACGGGGCGGTCTGGATCACGGGGGATAACATCCTGCCTCCCGGCACGCCGGGAGGAGGTGGGTGCTCCGCCGCCGGACCGCCCTCTCCACCACCCTCGCCCAGGGGATCTACAATGCTGTCTCAAGGTCCGACCTGTGGGCCGCTCCGGCCTGCGCTCGGCACCGGGCACCGCCTCGGTATACAAAATGCGCCTGCGGGCGGACCCTCACAGATCACAGATCACTTAGACGTCACAAGCAGACGGGCAGGCGGCCGGGTGGTAGGAAAAAAAAAACTCCTGACGGATGGAGACAGTCGGCCGACATCCTCTCGAACACAGCTTTCAGACACACGCATGCCGGCTGTCGTCTCCGACCTCTGGCGCTATGCTGTCAAGGGTCTCGACCGAGACTCCCTCGATTCCGTCGATCTCCAGCCCGGGGCCGGCTTCCCGGCGGATCGGCGCTGGGCGCTGCACTTCGAGGACGCGGAACCCTTTGACCCGCAGCAGCCAGCCAGGCTCCAGGGTGCGCACGGCGCCGGGGCGGAGCAAGTGAGCAAGGGCGGAAATAGCCGCTGGCTGCACAAGTCCAACTTTCTGTGCGCCTTTACGGCGCCAGAGCTCCTCGGCGAGCTGGAGACGTGCTTCGAGGGCGCTTCAGACGTGCTGACGGTGCGCCGCCGATCCAGCGGCGAGTTGCTCCTGCGCGCCTGCTTGACTGCGGCCGCAGATCTCGCGCGCGCCGAGGCGTGGTTCTCGGAGCTGCACGGTCGAGCGGTGCGAGTCGTGCAGGCGAGCGGGCCGCATCACTTTGGGAACACGCCCGCCGGCTTCTCGCACGACCCGAGCGGCTGCGTCATCCACCTTGTCAACGCGGCCACCGTCGCCTCGCTCTCTGCGGCCGCCTCGCTGTCGTCGCCGCCCCTCCACCCCGCGCGCTTCCGGCCCAACATTGTCGTTTCCGCCGCGCCCGAATGGAGCGAGTTCCGCTGGGTCGGGAGGCGGGTGCGCGCGGGCAGTGCCATTCTAGAGGTCCTCTCGCGTACGGTCCGATGCCCGGCCGTCAACGTCGACGCGCGGCACGGCAGCGGCAAGGCGGACATCGACGTGCCGGCGCTGCTCAGCCGCCACTACCCGCAACACGGCCCCTACCTCGGCGTCTACTTGCGCGTGGTGCGTGGCGGCGTCCTGCGGGTCGGAGACACCATCGCGGTCGAGCCGGCGCCGTGGGTGCTCGCGCTTGCGGCAGCGGCCGCCGCCGCGGTGCTGGCCGGCGTGGAGGTGCTGCTTGCCTCGCACGACCTCGACGAGAGCCTGCCTCCCCTCACGGGCGGCGCCATCGACAACGGGACGCTGCTGCGCGCCTCGACGCTCCTCGTGCTCGCGCTCCTCTTGCACCCGCTCCAGCGGCTATGATGTTCTCTCCTTTGACGGAAGTTGACTACGTTTTCTCGCGTACGACCCTCTACATCGGTGTGCACGTGAAGGGCGCTCTGAACTATAGAGGCTCTGTACACATGACACATCCTCTCGCGCGTGGCGAGGCGTCTAGCGACGCTTTTGCATGCGGGTGTGCGACGGTGTATCATTCACTTTATGCCACCGTTGCATATCCGGATATGCAACGGTGGCATAAAGTGAATGATACACCGTCAGATATGCAATGGTGGCATAAAGTGAATGATACACCGTCGCAGGGTGTAACCTGTTTGAGCATGTAATGACTAATGTGTTTTACCTCTGCTGAGAGTGCTGTACTATTTTTCGTATATCTCGGGCTGTAGGTATACACCACGCCGAATCTCGCGAGAAAATGCGCGAGTGTGCGCCGCCGTGGCACACACTACTCACGTACACTCGTCAGAGCGGCCAGCACTCACACACACACGACACAGTACCAGGTACGCGAGGGACCACAGAGATCAGCGCGTAGGACACACCCCGGATCCACACACAGCAAAATATAAAAGCCGTCACTCAACCATCATATCTCATCGTCGGGTGCGGCTGCATTTGGCCCGGCAACAGCGGGGGCTGACCCTGACCCGATGGCTGGCGCGGCGGCGGATAGGAGGACGGCGCTCCGGACGTCAGGCTGAAGGCGGATGCGACCCCGGTCGGACGTGCCGCGGAGGAGCAGGTGGGCACGGTGCCTGTAGCCAGGTTTTGCGGCGCGGCGTGAGGAGAGGGCCGTGGGGAGGCAGCGGGCGACAGAGCAGCGTGCTGGCCCTGCGCAGAGAAGCCCGCCTGCCAACAAGGCGCCACTTGTCAGCGGAGGAGGGGGGGGGGGGGGGGTTGCTGCCTCGCTTGCTGTCTGGTTGGTGGTGGTGGTGGTGGTGGTGGTGGTGGTGTGTGTGTGTGGGGTGGCACCTGACTGGACGGCGGGTAGGGAGAGGGCGGGCGCCAGCCCAGCGGCTGGGACGTCACGGCCTGCGGCGGCAAGCCGTACTGCTGCGGCGCCAAGCCCTGCGACACGGCGGCGAGAGTTGATGAGGCGTCGGGCGAGAGCGCCGAGGAGGAGGCTTGCTTGCCACCGCACCTGCTTGAGGGCCTGCGCCGCCTGTTGACAGCAAGAACTGTGAAGAGACGCAGCTTCACGGCCCGGCCTCGCCATCGCCGACCGTGTGGACCTGCACTTGGGCGCGCAGCTGAGCCCGCTGCTGCTCCCGCACCTGGCTGCGCCTCGCGAGCTCTGCTTCCGCTCGCTGCAGCTGCAGGGTTTGCGCGTGCTGCTGTGCGAGCTGCTGCGCCTGCTGCTGTGCCTGCTGCCGCTGCGCCCGCGCCTGCTGCGCCTGATGCTGCTGCCTGGCTTGGATTTGATCCAGCGTCATGCCGGGATGCGCCTGCTGCTGCTGCTGCTGCTGCTGCGCCTGCTGCTGCTGCTGCTGCTGCGCCTGCTGCGGCTGCGCCTGCTGCCACACCTGCCGCGCCGCTGCGTACGTGGCAGCCTGCAGTCGGGCGGAGGGGCGGTCTGGGGGCAATCGATCTCGGTCCATCTCGGTCCATCTCGGTCCATCTCGGGTCATATCGGGTCATCTGGGGGCGGGCGCACCATCTGCGAGGGCGCGTAGCCGGGCGCAGTGTTCACCGGCGGCGCCATGCAGCTGCCGCTCGAGCCAACCGCCTGCGCGTAGCCGCTGCCCGCCGCTGTGAAGCCGACGCTGTCGCCGTAGCCCGGAGGATAGCAGCCGCCTGGGCACGCAGCCACCCCGCTGTGAGGAGGCGCGGCGCGGGGGGCATGTCTCGCCGTCCAGCAGACATGTCTAGCAGACGGCCTGCACTGCCCCCGCCGCCAACCCGCGAGCAGCAGCCCGCCCTGGGACCGGCGCACGGCCCGGAGCCGCAGCCGGCGCCGAAGCTGCCGTAGCCGCCACGCCGTGCGCCGTGCGGGTCCGCGGCGGAAACATACTGCAAGCCTACCGCGTAGGGGCACGCCGCCGCTGAGGGTGCGAGCGTGCAGTCTCGTGCACCGCCTCGCTGCCGTCTCGAGGGATCATGGGTGCTGCGGCGCTCCGCCGAGAGCCGCTGAGCACCGCTTGAGTGCCGCCGCCGGTGGGGCACCGCTGAGTGCGGCGGAAGCCTCGCTGGCTACGCCTCGCTGGCTAGAAGACAAGGAGAGGTGGCGCGTGCTGCTGCTGCTCCGCGTCTGGGGGCAGGTGTAGGTGTAGGTGGGGTGGGGTGGGCAGGTGTTGTGTGGCATCTCGGGCTGCAGTACCCGACGGCTGGCCGTAGTGCAGCCGCTCCACGCTCGCCTGCGAGATGTGGGGAGATGTGGGGAGATGTGGGGAGATGTGGGGAGATGTGGGGAGAGATGGGGAGCAGCACGCTTGCCCTGCGGGAGCAGCGCCGGAGGGCGTGGCGGGGCAGGGAGGCGAGAGAGGCAGTGCGGCCGCCTCCCCGCCGAGTTGGACACCGAGTTGGACACCGAGTTGGACACAGAGGAGGCGGCCGCATCTCGGCCGAGAGTTGGCCGAGAGTTGGCCGAGAGGTGGCTCAGAGCTGCTGGCCGAGAGTTGGCGGGGGGAGTCGCGAGGACTAAGCTACGGCAGGGGGGCGGGTCGCCGACCTGCTGCTGCACCGGGTCGGCGGAGAGCTGGTCGAGCCTACCGGAGCCGCACGCCACCTCACGGCACACCGGCTGGCTGCGCCGTCACCCACGCGCCCTCTCCCCGCCGCTTGTATATAGGCGCCACGGCTCGCGGCGCCGCGTCCCCTCTCACCGCTGCTCGCTACTCCTCTCTCCCCGCACGCACCGGCCCTCGAGCGCGAGCCAATCTCGGCCAATCTCGGGTTATCTCGCGCAATCTCCCCGCACGCACCGGCCCTCGAGCGCGAGCCAATTTCGGCCAATCTCGGGTTATCTCGCGCAATCTCCCCGCACGCACCGGCCCTCGAGCGCGAGCCAATCTCGGCCAATCTCGGGTTATCTCGCGCAATCTCCCCGCACGCACCGGCCCTCGAGCGCGAGCCGGCGGGCTCGCAAGTCGGAGAGGCGCTGCTGCTGCTGCTGCTGCGAGGCGAGCTTCGCCGCCAAGCTGTTTGCGCTGCGCTGCACGACTGGTGCTGCTCCCATGCCAGCCGTGGCTCTCTCTGCCTCCGCCGCGGCGCAAGATTCGCCGCTGGTGGCGACCATTTGGGCGCATCCGTCGTCGCCGCCCCCGGTGGTGTGGACGCCGCCCAGACTGTCGGTGCTCTCCTGTGAGCTCGCCCGCGCGCACTGCGGCAGGCCCATGATGGACTGCAGCCGCTGCTGCGCCGTGTAGATTTGTGCGTGCGCGGGCGAGGCGCGGGTGAGCTCCGAGCGCTCACTCTCTTGCTGCGAGTGGCGCTCCGCCGCGAGCGCCTCGTCGGGCGACAGGCCGGAGATGTTGCGCAGCAGCGCGCGCACCCGAAAGTCGTCGCGCCCCTCGTCGCGTGCCATCTCGAGCGCGACCTGCTCGATGTCGCGCACCTGCGCCGTCATCCCCATCAGGTCGAGGCTGCCGAGGCGCGCCATCTCCTGCGCGTCATCCTTGCTGTCGAGGAGGCGCAGCCTCTCGGCCACGCCCAGCATTCGCTCCGGCACGAGCGACCCCCCTCTGCCCGCATCGCCACCGTCAGCAGCCTCAGCTGGCGCCCCCTGCTGCGCTTCCACCTCCTCGCGAGAGGGCGGTGGATCCTTGAAGGCGAAGCGGCCAGGCGACGGCGCGTCCTCCGGCGATCCCGGCGGCAGCGGCGTCGGCTCGAGCGCCTCGTCGCAGTCGAACAGGTCTGCCATGCCCGGCACTGACTCCCGGCCCTGTTCGGATTTGCGGCAAAAAGAATTTTAGAAGCGATGTTGCCCGGCCGGTTAGCCTCCCAAAATTTTTCTCATCCGGCACCGATTATTAAGAGGAAGACGCCCGAGGGTGGGTGACGGCTAGCGCAGCACCACACTTCTCTCCTAATCCCTCCGTTGTTGCATGTTTTGCTTTGTAAAATTCTTTCTTGCGGCACCGAACCTGCAAAACACTCTCTCTCTGCTCCCGACCTGCGAGGGTGGTGGCGCTTCGTCGGGAGGGCAGGGGCGGTGCGCTCTCGTGTGTGTGCTCTCCCTGCACCGTGACCTCATATACGAGTACAAGCGTCCCCCCCGGGTCCGCATGGAGGCGCCATGGTCGTTCCCCCGCGGCGGGTAGGGGTCGATCCATGGGTCGATCCTCCCCGCGGACTTCGCGACAAACAAATAAAACAAAAACACGGCCCTGCATATAACCCCATACCACTCCTCAACACGCCTGATCCCATACAGACCCACCGTCTCACGAGTGTCTCACGCTTTCCCCGCTTTCCTCAGACGCGCGGGACGGCGCTGCACGCCCGCCGACGGTGTCGGCGGCGTTGGCGGTGCGTCGAGCACGTCGCTGAAGGACGGGGGCGGTAGAGTGACGAGCGGCGGCTCATCGGGCCGCGGCGGCGTTGGCACGGCCGTCGCGCCTGAGGGCTTGGCCGCCGCCCTCGTCTTTGTCGCGAGCGGGGTTGCCCTGGTCGCCGCAGCCGCGGCAACAGCGGCAGCCGGGGAGGCTGCGGAAGCCGTGGGCGCGGCCTCCCTGTCAGGCTTCGCCGGCGCTGCACTCGTCGCCGCCGCGGCACGCGTCTTGCCCGCCGCCTTGCCCGCCGCCTTGCCTGCGGAGGCGGGCTTCCCCTTTGCCGCAGCCCCACCGTTGGCACCGCCGTTGTTACCGTTGGCCCCGCCGTTGGCCCCGCCGTTGGCCGCCGCCGCGTTCGCCTTGTCGGCGGGTGCCGCCACGCCGGGCCTCGCCGCGGGAGCGGACACGGGGGTGGACAGCGTGCTCGTTCCTGCCACTCCCTTTGACTTTGAGGGCGGCTTGCTCTGCTTCTTGTCCGGCTCCTGCGTCCCAGCCGCGTCGGTCGCGGCGCCGGAGCTGGTGCCTTGTGGCGGCTGCAGCGTCGGCTTGTCCTTGGAGCCGCCCTTGGAACCGCCGCCCTTGGAGCCGCCCTTGGCGCCACCCTTGCCGTCGCCCGCCGCAGCGCCTTTTGGCGGCGTCGCCTGCACCCTCGGCTCTACCGCCGCCGCAGCTGCGAGGGCGGTGCCGGTGCTCTCCGGCTGCCGCGGCCTGCCCTCGGCCGCTCCGCTGGTGTGCGACGGCGGCGGAGGAGTCGGCTTGCCCTTGGAGCCCTTCGGACCGCCCGCCGCTCCGGTGCTCTGCGGCGGCGCCGGTTTGCCTTTCGTCGCCTTCGCCGCCTCTTCCGTGGCAGCGCCGTTGCCGGAAGGCCGCCGCGGCTTCTCCTTCGGCGCCTTCGCAGCAACGTCACCCGCAGCGCTACCGCCCGCAGCAACTCCATCCGCAACAACACCACCCGGTGCGCCGGAGCGGCCGCCCGCACGCACCTCCTCGCCCTCCTCGTCTTCGAGGACGAGCGTCACGCCCGCGACGGCCGCGGCCAGCATCGCCGAGCCCTCGGCAGCGGAGCTGACGGTGCGTCCGTTCACAGAGACGAGCGCCTGCCCGACGGCGACGCCCACAGACGCAGCCACTGCCGCCGCGCTGCCCGACAACTGCGCGACGTACGGCGGCCTGCCAGCATGCCCCACCAGGCGCAAGCCGCCCGCGACGGCGGCGGCGTCGTCCTTGGACAGCCTGACCGTGACGAGCCGCAGCGGCTCGCCGGAGGTAGCGGGGTCGCCAGGCCGACCGCTCTCGAGTGGCTGCGCACTCCGAGAGGGGGTCGCCGCTCCCTGTTTGGCCGCGGCGGCGGGCGGAGGCGGCGGGCTATCGCTTGCGGTGGCGGTGGTGCCGCGCGAAGGTACGACTCGCAAGCGCACCTCGCCCTTCGCGGCGCGCAGCATCGCCGTCGCGCTCTCGTGCGAAGTGACGCTTGTGCCGTTGACAGAGAGGAGGGCGTCTCCGACTGCGAGGCCGCCCGACGCCGCGGCGACGCTCTGGGGCTGGAGGCTGACCACCTCTGTGGGCGAGCCGCCGCCGCCCTTGAGCGTGATGCCGAGCTTCGCGTCTCGGGTCGGCTTGTGAAGCACCACGACGCGGTCCGCGCGTGCCCGCTGCGCGCGGGTGCCGTCGCTCGCCACGCTGCGGCCCGCGGCGGCGACGGCCACCTCTCCGACGGCGCCGTCGACGCACTTCGAGGCCGACGCCTCCGCCGCCCTGGCTGCGCAGCGAGGCGCGCCCACGGCCTCCTGCGCCCCGTTCTCGCCCTCGCCCTGCGAGAGGGCCTCCTCCGGCGGGGAAGGGTCCCTAGCCAGCCCCGCGTCTCGCTGCCTCGACGGCGTGTCGGCGTCGCGGCCGGCGGCCGGCTCTGCGGAAGGGTGGGCGAGGGAGTGGTTGGCGTACGTGGCGTGTGCGGTCCGGATGGCGCCGAGCATCGTCGGCGAGGACACGGCATCGGCCTCCCTCCTGGCGGCGGCGTCGCTCTGCGGCGCAGCCGACTGCGCGACGGCCCGCTGGCGCATCGTTATGTCGGCGGCGAGCTCGGCGTCCCACGACTCCTCCCCGTACCCGAGCACAGAGGCTGCGCGCCGCTGGCCGACCGGGAGCGCACGCCAGCGCGTCGCGCACGCCCTCGCCCGCTCGCCGCAGTTCCACGACACCCTCTCCCACCCGAGCTCGAGCGCCGCGGCGCGCCCCTGAGCGGAAGGGGTCACGGAAGGCTCATGGAAGGCTCACAGGAGGGCGCAAGAGCGCACTGTCCGCCTCGCGGCTCGAGCGGGAGGGTGTCTGGCCGGAGGTGGGGCTATGGCGGGAGGTGGGAGGTGCAGCGGGGTGTGTGGGCGACAGGCGGGAGGTGCAGCGAGAGGTGTGGCGAGACACAGCAGCGGGAGGTGCGGGCCGCAGCGCACCTCGCCCCCGAGCTCGTCCCACAAGAGGTGCTGCCCCGCGGGAGGAAACGCCGGGTCCGAGCTGACGCACGCGCCAATCACGCCGGCGGCGGGCGCGGGGGTCGGCGCAGCGGCCGCCGCCCCCCGCGCCGCCGCGGCGGGAGCGCTCAAGGCCTCGCGGGCGATGTGCGGAGCTGTCGGGCGGCCGGCCAGCTGCGGCACGTGCGCCACGTCCGGCACGGGCATGCCGGAGTGTGCTGGCTTGGCTGGAGGCGCGCCCGCGGCCACCAGCACGTCCTTACCGCCCTCCGGGGCTGGGGCAGCGGGGAGCCGCCGGGCAGCCGCGGCAGACGCAGCCGTCTCGTCCGCCTATGGGAAGGCCGGCGGGAGGATCACGGATGGGGGGTGGAGGCGACGCTTTCAGCGGGCGGCGCTCGCCGGCGGCGCGTGCGGCGCGGGAGAGTACTTTCTGACCGGGCTGGGCTCGAGCCCGAGCGCGCGCAGGCTCTCGGTCATGTCTTGCGGCGTGCCGGGCGGAGGGCGCAGGCTTGGGTGCGCCGCCGGCGCGCGGGCGAGGGCGGGCGAGACTGCCGGCGACGGGATGGCCGCCAGCCCTGGGTGCATGGGAGTGAGGGGCGAGCCGCCTCCCGGTAGGCCTGTTCACAGCGACAGGCGTGAAGAGACGCCGTTCGCGGCGGGGCGTATGCAGCTCGTGGCGTTCGGACCGCCCGGCAGCGCGCCGCCGGCGGGTGAGGCGCCGACGGGTGAGGCTCCGCCGCTGCCGGCGCTGACCGAGTGCTGCGGAGAGGCGGAGAGGGCAGCAGCGCGGGCGAGGGTGGAGGGGTCGGCGCCGGAGAGTGCCCCCACGCGCGGGTGGTCCGGGCGCGCCGCCCCCAGGTCGACACGCGGCGGCGCGTCGGCGGAGGACGCCTCCGGCCTCTCGGCCGGTGGCGGCCGTGGCGGCAGGGCGTGGGGCCGAACCCCGTCGTCCTGCGGCAGCGGCGGCGGGTACAGCGGCTGGTTCCACTCCGCCATCGGCCTCCCGTACCCCGGCAGGCCGGCGTCGGCGAGGTGTCCCGCCTGCGCCTGCGAGTGCTGGTACCCACCCGGCGGCTCGAACCCGCGGCCGTGCGCCGCCATCGGCACATACGCGTGGTGCTGCATGCCAGGGTGCATCGCGGCGCCCATCTCCATGTGCTGCCAGCGCTGCATGCCTGGCATGTAGCCGAGGAACGGTGGCGCCATCGGAGGCACCATGCCCATCGGCGCCATGGCCCCGGGCGCAACCTGCCACATTCCCGCCGCCGCTGCGTCGCCCGCCACGGCCTCGGCGGCCTCCACAGCGCCATCGCAGCCGACGCCGTCGCCGCCGTCCCGCAGATCGTCCATCGATATGTCCTTGCCGGCCGCATCCTGCAGCCGCACACGCGACATACGTTGCTGAGGCGGGTGGACGACGGCGTGCATCATCGGCTGCGAGCCGCCGATGCACGAGCCGCCTGGCCCATACTGCGGGACTGCCTGCCCGTAGCGGCCGTCGGGCAGCACGTAGGCGCCGTCGAAGGCGGCGGGCAGGTAGAGCTCTCGGCGCGGGTCGAGGCGCGGGTCCATACCCCCTCTTCCAGCCATACTGGAAGCTGAAAACCAACAGGAACAACTTTACCGGGAAAAGAGAAAAAATCGTTTTGCGGGGGCCTAGCGCCGGGGAGGCGTTGTTGGAGGCTAGGACGCAAGCGTCCGTCGCCCTTTTCAAACTCGGGCCCCACTCCGCTACGCTCCGACCCGAATTTGGAGGGCCTAAAAGTTTAAGGTGTTGCTGCGCAAAAGGGGTCGGACCACACAGGGCGCAGCTCATGCTAACGAGAGCTAGAAGGGGAGCTAGAGAGAACGACTACCCTGTCCCGTTGTTGCGTACACCAACACCACAAAAGCTCTCTCTCTCCTGTCCACTCAGGGGGGGTCACAACTACCGAGTCCCGCACTAGCTGCCTGTTCTGGGAAAAAAATTCCCGCCGACCGGGCCATGGCCTGCGCGCACACGCTGCCGCTTCGCGCTTTGCTTCGCGGCGTCCGCCTCCGCGCCTGCCGCCGTTTGCTGAGCAGCACGAGCGGCGCCGCGTCGGCGGCGCGCAGCATCGTCCCCGAGGCGCCGTGGTACCTCCGACGTCCTGTTCGCGTGTTCCGCGTGGCGGTGCTTGGCTTCACGCTGTACCAGACCGGCAAGGCGGCCGGGCACACCGAGGCGCTGCAGGACCCGGACGGGATGGTCAAGACGCTCGTCAAGGCGATCCTCGAGTCGCAGCACGTCTCGAGCCGCGGCGCCAAGCCAGAGGCGCACGGCGCCGACTCGCCGCTGCAGGTGCACGTCAAGGCGGTCGGCGAGCGGGTGCTGGCGGCGACGCGCGCGTGGGTCGCGCACGAGACGGCGCGGCTCGAGGCGGAGCTCGAGGCGGCCAAGGCGCGCGGCGAGTACCTCGGAGACCTGCGCGACCACCTGCGCGACCTGCGCGCGGGCGCCGAGCGGATCGCGGGCGAGTGGACGTGGCTGGTGACCAACTCGGAGGGGATCAACGCGTTTGTGTCGCCGTACTGCCCGCGGCACGTCTTTGTGCACGAGGGGCTGCTGCACGCACTCACGCCGACCGAGGACGAGCTCGCCTTCTTGATAGCGCACGAGCTCTCGCACGTCGTCTTTGCGCACGGCGAGCGGCAGCTCGAGCACGCCACCCTCAGATGCGGAAGAGACACTCCGCAGCCAGCACCCCGTGAGGAGACACGCCGCGCAACGCCGCTCCACCCGTGTTCGTAGCTCTCTACCCTCCCCGCGAGACGCAAGAGAGCTGCCATGCACCGACCCCACCCTCGCAGCCTCAGCCGCGAGCCTGTGCACTCTAGGCACACCGCCATCGCCGCGACCGCGCAGCTGGTGGTGCTCTCGCTCATCGACCCGACGGGCGTGCTCGAGTTCGTCCTCACCGCCACCTTCGGGCAGTGGCTCGAGGCCGCCTACGGCCAAGGAGTACTAACCCCAACCCCGACCCCAACCCTCACCCTCACCCTCACCCTGACCCCACAGGCCGCCTACGTCAAGGAGTACTCGCGCGTCTCCGAGGCGCAGGCGGACGACTGCGGCATCGGCATCCTGCACGCGGGCTGCTTCGACATCCGCGCCGCGAGCTCGATGATGGCCAAGGTTGGCGAGGCGAGCGGCCACACGCGCGCCTCGTGGACCGACACGCACCCGCCCCCCCTCGAGCGGGTGGAGCACCTCCAGCGCCGCGCCGTCGCACTCGCCGAGGAGGGGACGCACCAGGACTGCCGCTCGGTGGTGCAGCTGCTGAAGCGGCTCTACCGAGCATCGACGAGGAGCAAGAGGGAGTTTGCGTAGCGTGCCGCTCTGCCCTCTCGGCCTCTGCCGGCCGTGCGTCTCTCCCGGGGTGCGGGGATCAACACTTCATTTTGTCTGTGAGCGCCTTCGTTCAGAGCAGATTTTTCTTCCTTCTCGTTCATGTTAATAGTACATAGATCACAAACGCTGGGAAAAGAGAGTCTCTCTCTCAAACGCTGTGTGTATTTGTGTGTTTGAGCTCTGTGTCCTGATTTGCCAACAACAGACCTAACACAAACGGATGGTCACTTGTGGCAGTCGAGTCGAACACACAATTCACAGAAAAGAACGCGGACTAGTGCGGATTGGTGCTAGTACTATCACCGGCACCGGAGCCGCCAAGAAAAGAACAAGGGAACTCAAGATGTAAAAACTTCTCCCGGCGCCCATCGGGACTGGGACGCTGCCGGCTTCCTCCAGCCCGATGGCCGACCCATACGCCTACAAGCGCGACACCAAGCTGCAAGCGCGGCTGAGCGCCGAGGTGGAACGGCTTGCCAAGCTGCCGGCAAACAGCGTGTGTGCGGACTGCGATGAGCGCCGGCGCATCCGCTTTGTCTCCGTCACGCTCGGCGTCTTTCTGTGCAATCGCTGCTACGGCCTGCACCGCGCGCTCGGCGCTCACGTGACGCGCGGCAAGTGTCTCGGCCTCGACGCGTGGAAGCCGGAGGAGGTGGAGCTGCTGCGCGCGGTGGGTAACGTCAAAGCGGCAGCGCTGTACGAGGCCAGGGTCCCGCCAGACCTGCCGCGGCCAACGGCGGCCTCTCCCGACCGCGAGGTCGCTGCGTGGATCCGTGACAAGTATGAGCGCCGGCGGTACTGCGCGGCGGCCGCGGCACCGCAGGCCGAAAAGGCTGCCACAGAGTATTGTGAGGCCCGCCCCGCCAGACAGGCTGCCCCTGCGACTCCTCCGACCGGAGAGATGGACCTCCTCTCGTTTGCGGATTTTGGCGGTGCGGCGGCCACCCACGCGGCGCCACAGGTCAGTGCGCCCGACATCGACCTCCTCTCATTTGCAGACTTTGGCAGCGCCAGCTCACAGACGAGCCAACAGACTAGCCACGGATGGAGTGACCCTGGCTGGCGCGCCTTTCCGTGACATTTTTCGTGATATTTGACATCTAATCACTCATTTCGCTCTCTCACGAAGTCTCAAATGCAATGGAAACACAGGTATCTGAGGCGTTTATATTAGCTGTGCAGAGCACCTTTTGATGCCCGCGTTGACCGTCCAACGGACTGGGATCCTCTCTGGAGGGCAGCCGAATGCGAAAGTGGAAAGAAGTGCCCGCCCAATGATCTCCGTCTGTTCTTGCTGGGTCCTCGTGCTATCTTTGCGCAGCTTGTACTGGCCAGCCGGGACAGTGCCAGTCTGCGCTGCACGCACGTCGGTCTCAGAGCGCCCCATAGCTTTCGCTAATGCAGACAACATCTCATTTATCGGACCTAGCTTGTTGATGCCGGAAGCGTACTTCACACCCTCTTGTACTTCGTCGTTCACCGAAGCAATGCTCCACCCTACAACCTCCCCTCGATTGTTCAGAGCTGGTCCTCCGCTGTGGCCCGCCAGCATGAGAGCGTCAGTGGTAAGGAAGCCTCCGTTGCCACTTGGCCTCTGATGATCGTTCCTTTGGTGCTTGTCTGATCCTTGCTCTTCTTTTCAAGCATGGACCTGCCATATCCAAGCAGCACCACGTCTGACCCAACCTTGACCTCGGCCGAATCGCCCACCGGGAGGGCACGAGCTTGTGTCCAAGCCTCAACCGTCTCTACGGTGTCCGACTTAATCCTGAGGACCGCGTAGTCGCTCGGCCCCCCGACGAATCAAGACATCCTTCCACCACCTCTGCACGCACCAGCAAGCTCAAGTCCGCAGGGCTGCCAAATCCAATCATAACTTCGCCTCCGCCGGCTTTATTGACGACGTGAGCACAGGTCGCGAAGAGCATCTGCTCCTTGTCGACGATGAAACCGCTTCCGATGATCTTGCTTCTCGAATTCAGGCGTGCAGCAATCGCCACAACGCCTCGCTGCCACGCGGTCAAAGCATCGCTGCCGTATCCAGACACCTCGGAGAGCCCCAACGGAGCAAGTGCAACCACCTTACGAAATCCGTCGTCAGAAGTACCCCCAGTCGCGCAAGACGGGTATGTAGACCTTGCAACGCGGCTGCCACAGCCGACGAGTCAGGGCTGCGCTTGCCGCGTTTGCGACCCCAGATGCACCAGATGGCGGCACACCCGAGAGACGTGAGAGCAACGCCATTGGCTGTAGCTACGATCGGAATGACATAAGAGGGCGACGGTTTTGGTGGTGCTGATGGTGGTGGCGGCAGCGGTGGCGGCGGCGGCGGCAGCGGCGGTGGTGGCGGTGGTTGCGGTGGTGGCGGAGGCGGCGGCGGCAGCGGCGGCGGCGGTGGCGGTGGCGGCGGTGGCGGCGACGGTGGTGGCGGTAGTGGCGGTGGTGGTGGTGGCGGTGGCGGTGGCGGTGGAGACGGCAGTGGTGGTGGCGACGGCGGACAGCCGCCGCAAGTGAGCGTGCACACGTCCATGATGGCGACGGTGGGCCCACCAGCGACAGAACCCTGAGTGAGGACGGAACCACAATAGCCGTTGTCGCTGCAGCTGGCTTCGTTCCCGTTGCTGAACATGATTCCGGTGCTCTCTGCGTCAACGCAGGTGTACGGCGGCGAGGGCGCAGGCGAAGGCGGGGGTGGGGGCGATGGTGGAGCGGGCAGCATTGGGGGCATCGGTGGTAGAGGCGGATTCGAAGGAGGGGGCCACGGGCTAGCCAGGGGCGCAAACGATATGTCGTCCAGCGCCATGTCCGAATACTCGCCAGAGACCAGTCCGTCGAAGCGAAGCCTAGTTGTCGTGTCGGGGATAAGGACAACCGCGTTGCGCCACTCGACTCCCTGGTCGCCGCTCCTGCTCCACAGCGGCGACCACTCGCTGCCGTCGTACGCCATGAGCGAGAGAGACCCCATCTCGGCGCCAAACATGTGATAGAAGAAGGAGAGAGAGGCCTGGCCAGTGAGCGAGAACGCGGCACTCCTGAGCGAGTGCCTTGTCTGGTGGTTGGATGTCGCTCTGCGGGTAGATGAAGAAACCGTTGACGCTTGTGTGGTCCCCATGTGGCCCCGTCAGTTGGCACTGCTTGTGCTGCCAATACGGCGAGCACGGCGTGTTGCCTGTCTGACGTAACCACCGGCCGCTGGCTATTTGATCGTCGCAGACATTCGGCCACTCACAGTTGAACGAATCTGGGGAATACTGCGCGGAAGACTCCCAGTTGCACCACCAGGACCAGTCATTCGAGACTGCAGGATGCCCAAAGTCGCAACCGAGCTGCACCTCTCCAGGGCTCAGCGGTGGCGCTGGCGGCGGCGCTGGCGGCGCTGGCGGCGGCGGCGGCGGCCGTGGCCCGCAGTCGGAGCAGTCCGTTGGCCCGCCGTCATCGCACACGCCATCCTCAAGCCACGCGCACCTTCCTCGTCGTCTACGCAGGTCATTGGGGGCGGTGGCGAGCGAGGGGGTGGCGGATGCCCGTCGACTACGCCAGCCCAGTCACAGCGACCTTGAGCGCAATTAGCTCAGGATGCATTGGTCAATGGGTGAACAGCCGGGTGGCGGTGAGGGTGCGCTCTCCACGCACGGATCGCCGAAGCAGAAGCTGCACCAGCATTCGAGCTCCGGGCCGCAGTCCTCAGCTCGGGAGGTGCAGAGTCTGACCGTTCACTGATTGTGCGCCTGCTAGGAGTAGGAGGGTCGCACGCCCGTCTAAGAGCCGCATCCTGCAGCGCGGCAGTGTCGCTGGAGGCGGATCGTCGACGAGCAAGCATCGACGAGCAAGCAAGTTGCGACCGTCCGTGACCCCATGTGGAGCGATAGCAACGCGGCTGCGCCCGAGGGCGAGACACGAGTCTGTCTGGCCCATCGTGTTGGCTCGGGCTGCCCAAACGAGGGGGTTTACAAGCCCAAGACGTATGGCCCGTCTGCCTACCAGCGTTTGTGCCAACACTGCCAAGTGAGCTTTCTCGCCGACCGCGCACAAGTTCGTGTCTGCCCAGAGGAGTACTTCACAGCCATGAATATCAAAGGCGCAACCCAATCAAGCGGCTTTCGCAACTCGCCGGCATTGCCCCGCTCGCCGCCGGGTGCATTCCAGTTTTGCCTCTGCAATCACGTGCCCCTGTCTCCGTTGCAGGCGTAGCTCCGCAGTCCGCTCTCCTCGCGCAGCGTATTTTGGCCCCTCCAGTTTATCGAGCTCTCCTCGTGTAAAAGCAAAAGGACCCACTTAATGGTGTTCGCTTGCGGCCCTTGTGCGAGAGGGAGTGACGGCAGACGGGTAATCGTGGCCGTGTCTCGCCGTCGGCGTCGCGTGTCAGTGCCCGGCGCACCCACACGCGCCGCCGGCGCGCGGCTCTCCGCGTGGAGAAGTCCGTCGTCCCGGAGCAGAGCTAGGCCCCCGAGCAAGCTCAAGCGAATTTTTGTTTTTATTAGCATATAGCAATCCACACAAATCGTCGAGCCTTAAACCAGTCGCACCGTCCGCGCAATCCGCACGCGCGCGCCGCAGTCCTCCACCAGAAAGACGCGCCCCGCGTCGCCGGCTCGCGACCCTCCGGCCAAGCCACAGGCCCAGCTCCCGGCGCCGTCCTCCTCCTGCCCGCCCTCGCCTCCCTCGCACGCCTCGCGGCCGACACCCTCCTCGAGCAGCCGCTGGTGCGGCCGGAAGCCGGACCGCACCCGCCCGCCGTCCGGCGCGAGCAGGTGCCACACTCCGCTCGCCCGCTCGCTCACGAGCAGCCTGCCCGCCGCGGTGACGGCGACGCCAGACGGCTCCGTGAGGCGGACGGCGCCGCTCTGCGCCGCGCCTCTGCTCGACAGCCACTCGAGGAACTCGGGCTCGGAGAGGCCGGGAGGCGGGGCGTCGCTCCGGCCTCCGATCGAGCGCACGAAGCCGCCCTCCGAGCCGAGGAGGACCAGCCGGTGGTTGTCCGTGTCTGCGACGACCAGCCGCTCCTCCTCTGCGCCGCCGCCGCCGAGCAGGGCGAGCCCGCTCGGCGAGTTGAGCTCGCCCTCGCCGCCACCGCAGCGGCCGTGCGAGAAGAGCTCGACCGACAGGGCGGCGTCGTAGCACACGACGCGGTGGTTCCCCTTGTCGGACACGAACACCCGCCCGTCGCGAGGCGAGACGGCGAGCCCGGCCGGGTAGCAGAGGCCTCTCGCGCCCTCGACCGGGCGGGTGCTGCAGATGGGCGACAGGTCCGGGAGGGAGAGGCGGTGGAGAGCGTGGCCCGTCGCGTCGGCCAGGTACACGCTATCGCAGCTAGGCGAGAGGGCGAGCGCAGCGGGAGCTTCGAACATTGCGGGCGACGAGGCGAGGCGCGTCCCGTCGGAGCCGATGAGAAGGACGCGGCCGCTCGAGGTGTCGCTGACGCAGAAGCGGCCGCCGGGCAGCGGAGCCACCGAGCCAGAGTTGCCGAGGAAGCCTCCGAGGTGTCGCGGTTGCTCGAGAACGACGACAAGCTCCGCGTGCGGGTTGGGCGCGCGGTGCACTCGCGGGCTCTGCCACGCAGCAATCGCGGTCGCCGCAGCGAATGCCAGGCTGCCAAAGTGCGACATGAGGGCCGGTGGCGGCGGCTTTGTCCGGCGGGCGGGCCGGCAGGATCGAACAGCACCGACCGAGCGAGTCGGCACCTGTTGTGCAGGGTTCGGACTTCAGTAGCGGCGAGCAGCTTGCGAGCGATTGACAGCGTTTTGTTGATTGAGCCCAGCCGCTTCGCCAATTGGGCGGCCTCGAGTTCGAGGCGCATGACCCTTTTACGTCGCTCCTGCAGCATGTAGCGCGCGCTCTTCATGTGCTCGTACGTCGGCTGAATCACTGCGAGGTCGCATGTGCTGAGATCGAGCTCCGACTGTGCCCAGGCCGCGACCTCTTGCCCAAGCTTGGATTTCAGGTCGAACTCGTCCACCAGGAGGGTGCTCCAAGCGCGGGACACGCGGCTAGCCAGGCCGGCGTGTGCGGTCTGCTGCATCAGGGACGCGACCGCGCACGGTGTGCCGTGGGCGTCGATGAACAGGGGCTTCCGGATTGCGGCTGTGGACACGCCTTTGACGGCCCCGAGCATGACAGTCCCTTGCGCTGGTTCGATGTCGTGCTGAGGGAACTCGCCCTTCTCGATGTAAGCCTTGAGAATGGACGCCGCGCGAGCCTTCCCCCTCGCCTTCAGCACGTTTTGAAGAGCGAACTGAAGGTGGCACACGACCCTTGCTTCGTTTGGCGCTTTGTCATAATCGGAGGTTTTGGAAAGCGCCCAGCTCATGTCACCGATGCGGGGGTTGATCGTGTGCGACTGTTGGCGCGTAGCGTTCGTGGGGAGATTGTGGCAGTCGGACGACGCCTCAAGCCATTCCACGTCGAGCTTCACGTCGTCCGAGCCGAGGTCGTTGCCGGCGAGGCCGAAGACGGTCTTGCAGATGGCCAGGCAGAGGAACAGCGACTTCGACATGGGAGGCGTCTCGCCTGACAGTGTCGGGCTCGCTTTCACCGCGTCTCTCCGGGATGGCTCGCTATCACGCATGATAAAAATTACAGCATATTGCGCGGTCTTTCTCGGGCGCACGGCGGCCGCGCTCCGTACCGTCGTGCCGAGCATTATGTAAATAAATAGATGTACAGATGGCCGACGTACGAACATAAAACGCCCCGCCCGCCCCGCCCCGCGCACGCACGCAGGGCATGCCCTGGAGTTCTGTTTCCCACGGCGTGCATCTGAGGCTGCCGGCAGTAAAAACCCATTTTTTTTCACGGCGTGCGCATCAGGACCAGCCGCTGCAGGCCCGTACGAATGTGCACATTTGCTCTGACGCGGCCGATCTCGGGACGTATTGGTATTCGCACTCCTCTGGACTTCCTCTGCTCCCCCGTGCGGTCTCGTGTCTGGTGTGTGGGTGTGTTCTGTGTATCTCCCCGCACCCCGGGCGACTCTGCCTGACAGTTTAAGTGTTCTCCTACCGAAATATCTGATAGTGTTAGTGACACTGGCGAACACTGGCGTGACGCGGCGACGCCCCCCCCGTGGACAAGGACATGCACAACCTCGGCTCGCGCCGCCCGAGCTCCCGCTCGCCCGCACCCGCCGGCGCCCCGGCATTTGCGCGAGACGCGCCGCATCGCGGGCACACCCGCCCGTACTTTTGGCTCAGGGCACGCACCAGAAGAGGCGGGCGGGGGGGGGAGGGGGGGGGGGGGCAAATCATCGGCTCCTGCTCCTCGACCGTGAACGGAAGTCTCGGTGCCGGTAGTCGCGTCCCCTGTCGCGGTCGCGGTCGCCGCGGTCGCCGCGGCTGCGGCTCCGCCAACTACGAAGGGGACAACAACCTCGTCTTAGACTCGGCCTGGCGCCGGCTCAGGGCCTGGCGCCGGATGGCCGCCAATGGAGGCGCGCCTGCGGTCGCGCCACTCGCGCCCGCCCCACCTGCGCCGCTCGTAGCTCTCTCGGGATCGCGACGAAGAGCGCCGCCTACTCGAGGGACGCGGGCGATGTCTTGTTTGCAAGCCAGTCCGGCCGCCACTCGCCCCCCCCTCCGCGCCGCCGGTCTCGGTCTCGGGCTCGGTGTCCTGTTCACAGACGCCGAGGTGTGAAGAGGCGCCGTTCACACTCGGTCTCGGCCCCGCCGGTCGTCATGCCCTGTGGCGCTGAGGTGCGCCGAGGTGCGCCGAGGTGCGCCGAAGTGCGCCGAGGTGCGCCGAGGCTGTGGCACATCCCGGCGAATCTCGGCTAAGTGAGCGACGGGCGGACCTTCGCTGTACCGGCCCCGGTCGCGGTCGCGGTAACTGTCCCACTCGGACCGTCCGCGGCTGCCGTCGCGGCCGGGTCGGCGGGGGGCGGACTCGCCGCTGCCGCGCCGCTCTCGCTCCGCCGCCGGACTGCGCCGTGGGGGCAGCCCGGCCTGCTCCTGCCCCTCCTGCCCCTCCTGCTGCCCGGCAGAGGTGTGCAGCGGTAGCGCCGCCGCGCCCGCGCCCGCCTCCGCGCCGCTGCCGCTGCCGCTGCCGGCCGCCGCTGCCGCCGCCTCCCCGGCAGCGAAGCCTGGCGCCGTTTGCTGCGACGCGGCGGCGGGGAGGGCAGCAGGCAGCGGCGAGGCGGAAGCGGTGGGCGCCGCCGGCATCTGCAGCACCGTCGCGGGCGAGTCTGCGCCGCCCTACTCGCCCCACCGAAAGCGGGCCTTACGAGGGGGTGTGTCTGGGGGGCGAGGGCAGGGGGCGAACGCGGCGCGCTACGAACCGCGACGGGCGGGGACTGGTGCGGCATGTCCGGTGATGACTCGGTCGAGGAGACCCAAGCGTTGTGCTCCTCCTCTCTGCCGTCGGGCACATACCTGTTGTTGCAGCGA